GGGCGGGGCGCCGGTCGCCGGCTGCCTCCGAGCGATAGGAGTAGAAGTGCGCTGGGCGCTTCCTCCCGCGGGAGGCGGAAGGGCGACGAGCACGAGCAGCTCCCGGCGCCTCGGCCTGCTGCGCTCCCTGTGGCCTGGCCTCCGGGCCCGATCAACATGGTAGCGCGGCGTCAGGCCGCCTGCATCCTGCAACACACGTGACAGCGTCAGCGTTACTCCGACACTCGTATTAGCAGTTGAAATCTCGTTATGAACAGTTTAAAAGTTAATGGGTCAAAGGCCCTCGGGCTTTTTGTTGCAGCTTGATCATAAGAACCAGTTAACGTCCGTGGTACATACACGTCTTTATTTTTTATGTAATTTTAATGATTCTGATTAATTGCTAATTAACTAGATGTCTACTCGACTCGGTTTATCTTTTCATATTTCCTAAGGCCCTTTCATTATTCTCTCCATAAGAGAACATAGCACCATTCAACGGTTTTCAGATTACCCTTGTAACCACGATACTCTTGATCCTGGTAAGGTATGCAGTGTATTTCGAATTTCGTATTAAAGGCGATAACAAGCAACAATGTATCAGTAAAGAAAAGATTATATTTAGTACACTTTAAAATGCATAAACTAACGACCAGCGCAACTCAAGTTTTCTCTGGTCTCTGTACAACGTGAAAACCAAAGCACAAGGAAAGGAGTTGGAACTAATTTTCACAATCCGTGTCAATCATAGACATTCGATTCGTTCATTTTACAATAATTAATGTATGTCAATTACGAGAATAAGATAAAATATATAAACTAATAAAGAAGACAGACGTGTTCCCCACAGTAAAATATCAAATATTTTTTTCTATGTTAAAGACTTGCATTTGTTACGAAATAATTGGTTTCATTTAAAGAAGAGGAACAGTGAAAGCTTGTCCATGCTGGAATAGATGATGTAGGTCAGGAAGCCAGGTATATAAAAAATGGAGAGGCTCACTGAAGACAGAAAACGCTGGAAAGTTACTGCAAACCTGACTCCGGAAGAGAGATAGTTCCTTCTAAGCGCAAACGCTTTAAGACGAGTAATTGAAACTGTCGTCGGTTTTAATAAAATGCGCATTCCGCGTTCCGGAGGAGGAACATCTTAAGTACTCCATCGTATGCGGACGTTTCATCTTCTAGTACGTCGTAAGCGGTTTAAGCGACTCGTAGGAGATGTTATTGCACTAGAAGGCGATGCATGAGGAAACGTTAATCACACATCAGTGAAGCTGTCTCGAAGTGAAACCCGATCACTGTCGGTAGAATTCTATTAAGACAAGCTTTTATTTCATAATCCGCATTAACGCAACTAGAAAGTTGAAGTGTGAAAGTGGATAAGGGTTTAGGCTCAGCGGCGTACACGCTCTTTGGGAGAATTATGATGTGGTGAAGGTCGACTTTATACTGTCAAACGTTTGTTAACCTTTTAACAGGACTAAAACTCAGCTTCAATGTTTGTTGTCTTGTGTACGTTTGATCGGCGAGTCCTGGAGAAACCCAAACGTCGTTTCGTGGTCAGAGCTCCGCGTTTTCGCGGCCTTCCGCGCTCGGCCGATGGCAGAGAAGTCGCCCGGCGACGTTCCTCTGGCCTGGTTCCCGGACGGAGGCGACCGCTGGTTCGGAGGCTCGGAAGCGCGGCCCCGCGCCGCCGCGCGCCCGCAACTGGTTCCGCCTGAGCTAAATAGGGAAGAAGGCGCCGACGCGAACCGGTCGCCGCAGCCTCAGCCCACGCAGTGACATCTCGCGCCCGCCCGCCAACCCGCGCGCTTTTCCCAAACAGAGCGTGTCTCCGGCCGCGGTGCGTCGGAAACTGTGACATTTTATGATTTTCCAATAGCGAAACCGAATGGCATCTCCTTTTACTCGCCGTGGCGTCTTCGTTCCATCGAGCGGAATCCTTTCTCTTCCGCTCCGCTGCACTCATTTTTTGGCTCTTTCTCCGCAAACAAGATTTGATGCTAATGGTGCGCGTCCCTGATCTAGGGGAATGATAGTGACTCGTTTAGTATTTTTGATTTTTGTCATTTACTGTATAAATATTTTTGCTGTTAGAATTTTTTAACACTTCGCGAAGAAGTTCTAATTATGTATTCGATGACCGACAAAAACTTTTAATTTCTTATTATGTATTAAAGTGGACTTCAGTACGCTTTGACTTTCCATTAAACTAGCTTAAATGCTACTGGTAAGAAATGGAAAGTAATTGTGTGATAATTGGTTTGAAGCGATGTATATTTGGAGCAAAACAAGTCGGCTAGTCGTTGGACAGTCGCGGATGAAGAGCAGCCGCTGCAACAGAGCGATCGCACGAGTGAAAAGCGGGGCGCTGGGCGCGGGCAGTTTTCCTCGCACCACACGTGGCCGTGCGGCAACCACCACTCTTCTCTTCTCTTCTCTTCTCTGCTCTGCTTTCGCGACGAGCCTAACCCCCTGTCCCTACACGCCTGCTTCCCCCGCGCTCGCCCTTGGCGCTCTTTTCCCCCGCGTGGAATCGTGCTCTCTCTCTGCACTGTTTCCCCTTCATCTCCTCGGCCTCCTGTCTCTCCTCCCCATCTCCTGCGTCTAGCTGCTCCGCCCGCCCGCCCGCTCTCTCGCCGCTGATGGCGGACGGCGATATTTCCGCGCCCGCTGACGCCGCTTGGCTGCGGGAGTCGAACCGCGACCACCGGCGCCGCGCACCTTTCTCCGACACCGATGCAGCGGAGCGCTCACGCCCACGCTCGCGCCCGCGCCCACGTGTTGCTCGCCCACCCGGCCACGCGCGCGCCAACGAAGCGATCTTCGCGCTCCGCCGCCCGCGACGCGACGCGGGGGCGAGAAACCCCCGGCGCTGCGGCGGCCCGCGGACGCTTAACGGCGTGTTTGCTCAGCGGTCGAGTCGAAGCAGCGCCCGAGCGCAGATGTATACACTCGTTAGGCTGGGGATTTGGGGGATTAATCCAGTGTTGTACATTCTCTTTCCTGTAGCTTTGAAAGAAGGGGAAATGATCAGAACTTTACATCTTTAATGATGCTTTTTCAACTGCCAAATACTCTTTTTTCGCCTTTTTAAATTTTTCGTATTTTTTTAAAGAAATTCTTAATTGCGGGTTAACATGCACTACTTTAATTTTTCTAGCATTCTCCCTGATAAACATTCTGATGAATTTTCTAAATTGTGGTATGCATTTAATTTGTTGATTCTGCTTATGCATTTAAAATTACAAATTCTCTTAACTAAAGATATTGTTTTCATTGAAGTTTTTGGTTGTAAACAGTCTATACTTCCCATCTCTTGATATCACAATTTGAAAGTCGCTAAATTAAATTATGCTATAAAAAATTTGTTTAGTTTTGTTTTCAGTAGCGTAAATAACAAAAAACAAACCTGAAAGAAATTACAGATCAGAATCCGTAGATGAAAAAGAAGTTGAAAGTGATTACCTTTTGTGTAAGAGTTGTCTTTGATGGCGTAACATTTGATTAACTTTCTACTTCTTCCAACGACCTCTTTTGAGATCTTTCATAATTTCCCCTGTTCTTGTCGGGGGGTACTTCCAGAGCTTTGCTTACAAAGCGGTAGCTCATTGAATTAAATTTAATTGCTCAGACTTTGAATGTAAACAATGGCCTGAGCGGCGTGCTGAAAATATTCAGTCTATGATTCACATATATCACTTGCTATATGATGCAGGATCTTCCTGCTCTGCGCGCGGTTACTTTCCATATGCCACTCTAACCCGGTTAGGTGTTCGGTGTCAATCGCGCGGCCTCTTTCGCTGCCGTTTCGGTTCGTTACCTTTCGCCGGACGACAGGGCGAACAGCTGCGGTGGGCGAAAGGCCGCTCTATCTATTGATAAATCGCTGTGCACATACAGACATTGCATTCCAGAGCGCTTTCAAGCAGAAAGACGTATAGTAGAGAGCGCTGAGTACCATTAACAAGTGGGAAGTATCTGAATCAGTGATATTATCGTTATTTGATGGCGCCAGACACTGGGGTGGGTACGGATCGAACCCTCTTTGTGCGATTCCCTGTTCTCACTGCATATTAAAACGCCTTTCCCCTCGAGAGAAACGTAAACGAGATCGGAAAGTAATTAAGTTGCTTTTCGTGCTTTGTGTTGTATCTTCGTGCTTTTACTCATTAGCACGTTTTCTCCGAACTTGTGCTAGGTCATGGTCATTATGGAGCGGAATAGATATATTTTCCTGAGACACTTACAGTGTGGTTGGTAATTGCTACGTTAAATATAAAACCATTTCGATCCAATTCATTTATTTTTCAAACAGAGTGGCAGCGATTATCTTGAGCAGCATGATGCCATCTTATTGTGAGTGGACACAATTCACTGTTGGTGTTGTCTTCGAGAGACAAGTTTCTGGTATAACGTTATTTGCGAGTAATCTCATCTATATTGCGAAATATGTCATGTAAAATGTTATAGAATAATTTTGTTCTAAGATGGCAAAATTTTATGTCATTTTTTAAACATTTTCCATGACAGCACGTTTAAGCACCAAAATGTGATGAGAAATTACTCTGTGGCTTTTGTCTCATTGCAATTTGGCATTCTTTTCATAAAGAGGAGAAATACACCTTTTGCCTACTTCTAAACATTAATAAACAAGTGACTTCAATCATTGTCTCATGCCATGAAATAGTTACTTTTATCATGATGCCTTCTTAGCACAGAATTGTTGTATTGTACACTTACATCATTGTAGTGCTTTCTCATCCCCCTTCTATTTTGCGTGACATTCATTGCAACAACATTATCTCTAGATTATTTCGATTTGTTATTTCTTTCTTATTAACTATTAATTTTTTGTCTTTTATCTTTACCTCTTTATATTTACCGCAAGGTTTGGTTGGAATGGAGCCTTCAGTATATCATATTCGACCGCGCGTGCATACACATCGTAGCACATATGTTATTTTTCCTTCTTTTGTGGACCACTAGCGTTCCTCGTGGCGTCCGCATTGTCTAATAGCGTCTCTCCATTGACTTTGTGCCTGAGTGTAGCTCTGTGTGGGGAGGTCGCTCGGCGCCCTGGATTCCAGCGGGCGGCGCGTGCCCCATGGAGCGCGGGCGAAGGGCGCCGCCGGGCGGTGAGCGGCGGGCGGGTGGGCGGTGGGCGGGCGCGGGAGAAAGTCCGCGTGCGCCCTTCCCAGCGGCGCGGGACGACCCGACGCGGGGGCGTGCGGTGGCCGCGATGAAGTCATTCGCGCGCGCGGAGCGGCGCTCTGACCCGGAAACGGCCCGGCCCGGCCCTATGCCTGGCCCGTCGCCAGCACGCTCTTCTGTGCGGACAGCTGCACCCATCAGATAAGGCGGGCGACCAGCTACGGGTGCCGTTGCGAGACAAAAAAAAATGTTTGTAAATTTACTGTCATACATTTTGTGGGCATGCGTAACGTGCGAATAACATTGCGAACTAGTTTCGCTTTGATTTTTCTTTCGCATTTGGAAACAGAATCCTGCAACTCGAAATTTATATATTTAAAAAGTACGTGCATTTATTTTTCCAACTGTATTAGATGTCATGGCGTTCTTACTGTTCCTTGGAAACTAGTGCAACTTTTATTATAGTTTTTGTGTACCTTTTACCATTTCGACACCTCGCAAAATACGTTCGTATTTTCCGTTAGTAGGCCGGGAGCGCCATTTTACCTGGAAGCATTATGTTGTTTCAGCCGCAACTATTTTCCCCCTACTCTTATTTTCACGCCCCCCCCCTCGGTCTTCTAATTGGCGGCTGGTCCTTCCGGGCAGCATTAGTTATTTGGGAGCGCGCGTGGGAACCTGGAATTATTTTGGACATAATCTGCAGCGCCGCCTCATCCCGCTATGCTATTAACAATACCCAACCTTTCTGAGGTGCTAGAACCGTTACGATCCTTCCTATCTCCTCAGGGCAGTTGCAGAGAATTCCTTAAGTTAGAGATAGGAGCTTTGCCCTCGTGGCGTGATTCTGAAACCAATGGCTTTAATGACACCATAATCATCATCTTCCACTTTGCGGATTCAGTGCGCTGAGAAGAACACGACGCAAAATAATATATTCGGAATAGTAGTGCGACCTTTTTAGTCTGGAAACCAAGTAAACATTTCTCGTGATGAATTCGAAATTGTATTGGAAGGGGGCACATCTCTTTTTGTTCAAATTTTTACATCTACAACTTATACAAAAATCGAACTAAAAATTCGTTTACATTTTCTGCCCTAAATATTCTGTTTTGACAAACTGGTCTGTTGTCATTATAAAGTACATCTTTTGTTTTCATCTTTTGTTCAAATAATTGAAGTTGACGATACTTGTCATATTGTATAGAACAATGATCTTCCACAAGAGAATGACATAGTATTTTTTTACAATAACAGTTTGAAAATAATCATTTGCCTAGGTGTGATGTGGCGTAGGTCTCTACGGAAAGGGCCGCTGTGAACATTCTGACGTTATTGATGTAAACATTTAACCCGTCTTTAATACAGAGAGATCTGTGGTTTTCCAAATTTATCATTCAGGCGGTTATTTTTTTAATGTTTTTAGAATTTGTAAAGCTTTTAAGTAAATCCGTGGAATATACAGCTGGGTTAGTGTTTTACAATTCATTAGATGAATTATGGCAATATTGAAAACTTGTCTTGCTGTCTGGTACGATTTATTATTTTACGCAGTCTATTTTCATACTAGACTTGCGCAGCTCCACAGCGAAGTCTGAGGTCAAAATTATTAATGCCCGTATGTAGAAAAAATCCGTGTTTCTTCGTTAATTAGGGTATTTTTTAGAAATAGCGCAAATTTTTTCTTGGGTTTTCACTTGAAATGACATGGTTAGTGTTTCTGGAGAAAGGAAAAAGTATATAGTAAAATTGTCGAGAGGGGGAATTCGAGGGAGGAGCCGCCTCCAAGCGTTGGCAACGCCGCGCCGCCTCCAACGCCGTACAGGGAGCTGCTTCATTCCCTTGCCCTGTTGACACGCACCTTCTCCACCCGGGGAGGGAGCCAGATCTCTTCTCCGTTCGAAGGGCCCAGCCTAGTTATCAAGGTTTGTCTGGGATCTTTCTTTACGGCTGTCCCATTGAAATGTGCTTGACTAAATCCTTGAAAGGTTTCCCATGATCGGATTATTTTATTTATATGTCAAACCAAAACTGCACAATTTTTGTAATCGACATGCATCAGGTCTTGCAACTTAGAATAACAGCTGTACAGTCTTTGCTCTATGCTTGCAATAAGTAAAGGAAATACACAATGAAAATGTAAATAAATAGTGTAATATATTGAAAGCTTAGCGATAACTAAAAAAAAGTTGTCAATTTCAATTTACTCTCTATCCGAAATATCTGGGACTGCGGGATGTATTGATGGAAGCTTTTCGCACGCTACGAGGTTCAGTCAGCCGCTTCCTCGAAAGGCGCTTAGGGCCGTTGCATCACAAAGTTGCCTCAGCAAGCGCGCGTTCCCGCTAAAAGGATCGCAGAGTGCCCCTACAGCCACGAGAGCAGTCGTGCGCAGCTTCCCTGGCCCACTGGGGTGCCGCGGGGCGCGGATTCCTGCCGGGCGACGTTCTCGGAACTAGCGATGGTCTTGATGCTGCTATTTTGCCTGTCACTTAATGTAAATTGAATTACGTTGTTTGTAGTTAATATCATTATTCAAATTTTTCGAACCGTAACGAACTTAGGGGGGAAAATGTAATTGTACTCTATGATCTTGTCCAAGAGAAGCTTTAGAAAATAAGATATGGATGCACTTTTCAAAATTGAAACAAGGTTGTTTTTTTTTAAATTCAGGTTATGGTAATAACTAATTCATACATTGCCTTCAATTTAATTATTTTAATTCGTGTACAGTTGCAAAAAAAATATTAACTTTTTACAACTGATATTAGGGAGAAGTACAATCTGTGCATGATTGCTTGAGATCCGAAACCTTGCCCTCTATTTTACGTTATTATTACGAATTACGAACAAAAGTAGAAAAGAATGTTTATGAAAATGTTTACAACAAAATATATTCGTTCCTGTGTAATGGAATTATCCACATCAGCGAACGAGCTACAGATTTTTCGGTAGCATTTCTGCCGAAATAACTACCCTTCCGCCTTTTTCCCATGCATCTAACAAAAACAGAGATGATGAAAACCTCCGGAGATAGTGAAGTTACATTTTTACAAGTTACTAGAACCCAATTAAAAGCGCTACCAATGTTTAAAACAATTTAAAAATACATTAATTTACAATTTTATTATAATTTTACAAATATTTTCAGTAAACGAAGGGAACATGGTTCTAAGCTGTCATACTGGGTTTCATCCGTTACTTGGGAATCGTATACCTTTGTATGTGTCACAATGCATTTTTAGTTAATTGCAGGGAAACTTATTCCCGAATTCGGTAAATATTTCCAATTATTCCATGACAAGATTTTTAAAAGAAATGTGAATAAGTGAAGAACATTATTATATTAAAGGATTAGAATTTTTATAACTTTCGGGGGGTTTCGGATTCAGGAAACACTCTAGATCCACCTCTTGCATTTCATTTTTACCTAAAATGACGTTTGTGGAGGGTGGCCCCGAGGGCAGAGCAAGCGGAGGAACGGTGCGACGGCGCCGGAAAACACGCGTGAGCGGGTGTGTAGAGTGAATGTGCGCGCGTGCGCGTGGGGCCTTTGTGCGGCCTTTGACGCGGCACTTTCTCCTTCGGCGCGGCGCTGGCTGTCGGGGGCGTCGCGACGCACGCCTCAACACTCCTCCTCTCGTCCCTCTCTCTCCTCTCTTCCTCTCCTCTCCTCCCCTCCCCTTTCCCCTCCCCTCCTCTCCCCACCCACCCCTGCGTCTGTCAACAGGGGCGGCGACGTTCACCGGAATTACGTTAAACAGTTTGAAAGGCGCCCGCTCGGATAAAGCGTGACAGCATGCAACTTTTCCTCAAACCCCAGAAGCAGCCGGAGGTTTGGTACGTTACTGTCTTTTCATTTCCACGCTTGCACAATGCGTGAAAGAGCTCGCTGCGTGTGGATAGGTATTACGTCGTTTTGCGCTCTGTGAAGCCTTCTTTCTTTGCTCGGGGGCTGAGTTCCGGCGGGAAGTAAACAGTGGCGGTCATTCCCCACATGATGAGCCTCTGACGAAACACCTGAGAAGTAGCCCAGGTGCTTTTTCATTTAGTGCTTTCGCCTCCGTGGAATAGAATAATGTTAATGCTTATATATTAAACAAGTAGGATGTTTTGAATACGACACTCGCGGCATATTATCGACCCCAGTACTGCAAATAAAGTAGTGTTTTGTGAAATTCTTAGCAAAATTTACTGTACTTAAAATACTTCAATGACACAAAGATAGGTATTTGTGTGAAGACTCGCTTGTGAAGTTCGCTTCGATACAAAAATTTGTGAAAGAATCAAGTTAAAACTTCAAGTTCAGTGAAAGGTTTTAGAAGCACGATGTTTGATGAATGGTTGGTTATACCTATGTATAATTATTAAAGGTGTTTATAGTATTACACGATCAAACATTCTTACTCATCTATACCAACGAACACTACTTATGTACTTCGTTAAGTAGAATAACTGTTTTAGTGTGTTGAACGATTTAAAGTCATCTCAGTTCATGCACTTTCGGGTTGTTTGTCAGTTTCCTTAAGTATGCGCCCCTAATTCTTTTTTCTGTGACGTTTTGTCAAGTCAGCCCTTTTTTGTTAAGGTTTCAAATTCATTGTATTGAGTGGATTACATGTTCATCCATGGACGTATCTAGAAAAAATAACTATGTTTTCAGAAAGTATAGTTCTCGCGTTTGCTCTTTCAAAACCAGCTTTCCGTGGAAACGCAATGTTTCGTTTGATTAAAAGCCAATAAACGTCCACCTTAAATACGCACTTCACGACTTGAGATTACCACTGTCAGACGGTGATTCGATATCCTCGTTTGTGGTCGGCAGCAATGTTCGCCGTCGCACTCCACGCTCGTTCCGGAAGAGTCGCGTTTCTCTCCGGGATGGGGAAGCGGCCGGGCAAGGAGCGTAAGCGGTTTGAAGCCTCTTGATGCAGTTCACTGGTCAAACCCGTGGTTCTCCTTCTCAAATCGCTGTATGGAAATTAGCAGAACAGGAAGTCTAATGACATGAAGTGGATCGTAGTATTCATTTGATACAGGCATTTGTTCACGAAATCGTACTTATACAATAATCGTTACTTGTACTCAAATTATTATTATTATTATTATTATTATTATTATTATTATTGTTATTATTATTATTATTGTTATTAATAGCGACATGATTGGTATCGAGTAAACAAAATCTACTTCAAGTTGCTACAAAGTTCTTATGGAGCATTTCCAGTGAGTGTGAGTGCCTCTACAATAGGTCGGAGCAATATTACCAACAACACAATGTTATTTAGTTGTTAGTCCTTTGTCACCTGCAAGTTAGGACAAATCTTTACTTAAAGTTTGCGGTAGAAATCGCAGAGCTCGATAACTGTGGTAATATAATCTGGTTTTGATTTCCAACACTACTTTAGTTCGTATTTAAGACTATCTCTGCCTCCTTGATTAGTATATTCTGATCTCGTGGCATAGAAATACTAGTAGACACGATTTTTCTGTAAATCTCAAATCTTATTATTACTGTTATTGTTATTATTAACGTAATTAACTTGGGAGAATGTACAGAAAGCATTGTTAATGACATTGCTATTCTCACGTGCGTCTTTCATAAGAACAATCACATTTCTTATGCATTTTAAAGTAATCGACAATTATCATTGTGAATCAATAGCACACATGCACGATATCACTGTTGTAAACACGCGATACACAGACATTCACAAACTTCCACATAAACTATTCTTAGGTGTACTACAGCTCTCGGGATTCTGAATTATGACAAAATTGCATGGCTGAGAGGACTTACTAAATGAGGTTTTATATTAGTTCAGTTTTGATAACAAATCTCATGTCAGGACTTCGGTGTCTGTTGAAAAAACACTTCAATCTTCTTTCTTCAGTAGTACAGTCGCATCTACAAAAATAACCAAATATTTCATATCCTGTAATAATTGCTCTCGATGAGTCCTTCAAGAGGAGACAATCCAAATTAAAAAAGAAAAAAAAATCGCGAAGAAACAAAATGCAACCCCTCCCCCTAACACAACATACAAACAATGGCTAGTAATTGGAATGGAAGCAACGAAGCTTGGAAGGAGAGCTGAAGCGCGTCGCCTCGTGTTACCTGTTGCGCCGCGCGGCGCGGTCCTCGTGGCGAGCAGCCCGCCGGCTGGCCGGTCCCCCTGCGAGAGCGCTTCGGCGCCAGCCGCCACCACACTGAAGGCTGCTGCAGTCGGCGCGCGCTCCTTGCCGCCCGCCCAGCCAGACCCGGCCCGGCCCGCTTTCTAGACCCCCGCCTCCGCCTCCGTCGCCGCCACTGCGCATCTTGCTGCTCCTTGCCTCCCCCCCTTCCCTTCCCTGCCCATCCCTTCGCCCGCGACCTTCTATTCCTCTAACGCCCGCGAAAGCCTTCGCCTGCTACCTGTGCTCCACCTTCGTTGCGACACCGCGGATCCAGGGCGCTCCGGGCTCGGAGACCGCAAGGGCAGTGAAGGCTACGTAGCATTGGAATTCGTGGGACGTGTCACGTTTCCTTAGGGTTGCCACGCCTTCATTGCAAAATCCATTCTTTTTGCTGGTCATCATAATTCGCAGATCATATATGTGTGGTTATAGAAACCACAAGATGGATCGTGTAGTTATTGTTATATATTCTTGATGTATTTTCATGAATACAATCACACATTACTATCAACTTCGAGAACAGAATGAAAATGAGTTTGTACGTACGCCCTCATGCAGCATTGTGATTTTCTCTGTCGGATTTAAAGACAGAGTTGGTTCTTACTGGGGGTGCGAACTCTCCGTTTTGTTGTTCTCTAGAAACTTCTCGACGGCCAAGAGAAAGGTCCGCACAATTGTGTTTACATGGACCACACATGGTCCAGGATATCCGGTCACTGGGGACTTTCATGTACACGCCTTAAAACGTTTTCGGACTCTTTAGTTTGATCATTCGAGTATGTTCGGCTAAAGAACTTTCAGTATTCCGAGAACTCATGAATTTTTTATGTAGTTTTGCGAATGTTGTTTCATGTATCTAACGTCAAAAAACAATTAATACTTGGTATTAAGTGGGAAAAAGAAAAAAAAATTATCCTATTGCTAAACAGTGGAGTGCCGCTCTGTAAACTGGTCGAACTGATCGGAATGTGGTCACAAATCTTGAGTACTTTGCAATATTTCACTCATGGGCTGCAATAGTGATACATCTAAAAAAAATGAATCTTGAGTTAATGCACTCTAGAATTGCAGATTGATTATCCTTCCAGCGTATCTTACAGTACAGTATTCCACCAACACATGGCAGATGTGTGAATGCAAGAATTATGCGTTTAAATAGGTGAAAACTTCTTTAACTCAACACCTGCTTTTTTTAGTTGTACTTCTATTGCAGCCCTCGTACGATTTATTGCGTGTATGTAAACTAAATTATTACTTAAAAATAAACTTGTTCTATCTTTGTTTTCCCATTTATCACTTTCCTTAGAATGTGGGCATTTCCTTTGTTAATTCAGTGTGTATGTGGAGGGGGCTAAAGGAGCGGACGTCCACGAGCCGAGAAATGCCCCTAGCGCTACAACTCGCGAATCACCCAGCAAGGCTGGTTCCCGCTGGTTCCGACTGGAACCAGAGCCGTGGCCAGTGCCAACACCCTCATCGGTGGCGCGCTTCTCATGATCCGGAGGCCTTTGCGTAACCGCGCGTCTGCGGAATGGGGACTGATTTGAGCGACAGACCGGCACCTGGCGCCTTCGGAACCGGAAGACCTGCCCCCGCGCCTGGCCTCCGCGTCCCGGCCTCCGCGCCACGCCTGCTAGCAACGCCTGGCGGTGTGGGACTGTGGCGTGGCGGAGGTTTCCCAAATGGACGTCCGGGGCAACACTCGTTTCTTTCAGGAAACGGCGGCGCGATATCTTCGGGAAAGAGGGCGCGGTATCGCTACGATCGACCTTTGCCACTGTCCGGTTCTTCGCACTCCTCCGGTAACAGTGAAGAAACTTGTTAAAAAGACGCCTAATACGTTTTATCTTGACTGATAAAAGTATAATTTCTGTCTGGTGTTGAATTGCATCGTTATGTACCGTTGCATCGTTATGTACAGAAGTCAGGGATTAAAGATTTCACTTTATGAAATAAATATGAGGCTTTTCTGTGTCCTTGTTTTGTTATCTAATGCACTTGAAATCTAAGAATTCTCCAACGAGATACCCTTGTAGAACACAGTCGAAATGCTGAACTGTTTGTGTGACATCATGTCTCATGTCAATAATCTTCGTTTATGTGATACTAGTGGATCCGGCAATGCTTCGACATTTCAGTATATTACTCATCACTACTCGTCATTTGATTCTTAATCACATTTTACGCTACGCTGTGCAAAAATCCTAATAGACGACTTTCTCGCAAATCCTGTTTGTTCTATATCCTGGTTTGGACATGGTTGTCAAGTATTGTTAAAGCGTTCTCCCTCAAATTTCGGCATGCTTTCACTATGACATCATCTTGGAGAAATTTGATTTACCTGTGCGAGATTCAAGTAATAATTCTGGCTGATATCTCACAATCGCAGTGGCAGAACACTTGTTTGCAGGGAAGACGCACTTAATTCTATGCAGAAATATCGTTAATATTATGGATAGGAGCTTGAGAGAAGAATAAAGAAATAAAATTTGTTCTTAAATATTCTGGTCAACGCCTTGCCCGTCATATTTGTATCATAACTTGCGTCATTGTGTCAGTCTATTTACAAAATAGTCAGTTTTCCCGGCGGAAAAGAGAGGTGAACTTCTAATGACGCTCCTTTGCACCATTTTGTTCTTCCATTTCCCTGAAGGAAACAGAGTTGTTGTGTCCACATTCCTATATGAAGTACTGGTCGTCCTTAGGTAGAAACGACCGCGTTCAGAAGCAATCTTTACTGCTGGGTTTTATTTTTCACTTCATTTACAGACTTTGATGGCCTCACATGCGGCCCAGACCGTAATCCTACGCAATAGGACTGGCGCCATCACCGTGAACTCTTTTGACGAGCAAGGCTGCGCTGTGAAAGAAGCTTTCGTCTGAGAGTTGTCGTCCTTGCGGAGCTCCGGAGAGTGGTCGTTAGTTTATTGCTCCTGCCAGGGACGCAGTGCAGTATAGAGTCGTAGACTTTCTGCGTGGCGCAAGTGGGTACAATGTTTACCCATTCTGCCATCAGGAGGATTGCGATTGCGCGGCATTGATGTTTATTGGTTGTAAAATGAGTTGATGTTTCCAACAAACGAAGAGGTAGGGGGAAGTCACCCGGGGAAAGTTACTTTTCGACAGGGGAAAAAACGGAAAACTTTGTGACAACAGCCTTCGCAATCGGTCCTCATGAGTAGATGAGTGTCACTTGGGTTTTCGTGTTACATTCCGACATGACACTACACATTCTGCGGGTTTCGCAGATGACTTTGCATTTTCATCCTGGCATTTCTGTTTTCGCAACGCAACTCAGGAAAAGCAAAGTTCTTTTGCACAATACTGTGAATGTTAAATGTCTGAACCTTTCAATGTTTGCTATATTTCTTTTTTAATACTATTCATATTGAATGATATTTAAATACTTTATTTGGTGAAATTATTTCTACAGAATCGTTTTATACGTCAGGGTACAGTTTCATTCGCACCACCATGAGAACATTCAATTGTGTGTAATAATTTTTCAAGTTGAAGAACCAAATCTCTTGCCACCCTAGGTATAATAGATGCCTTCCGCAGCTGAATTCCCTATGGTCAGGATGTCCTCGTCTGTGAGCACCGCTCTTCTCACTAAAAAACGACACTGCGCCTGATAGGCGAGTTGTCAACTCGCAAAGCGACGTCGACGACGCCGTGATAGCACATCGGTAATAACCGGGCGGATTTATTTAGGCAATCGAATGGCGCCGCCGGGCGTTGCGCACCTCCCTGGTGGGGGATGTAAGCTGTTTACAGCCCGTAAACGCCAATCGCCCGCTCCTAGTGCCGCGAATGGCATTGGGGTGAATGCAACCGCGGTAGCTCGTGGGGAGGATATGGTCGTGGCTCGTGGGGAGGTGTGCTGGCGCCGCGCCACACTAATCTGTAAATCAGAAATGCAGGAAAAAGTACGGTCCCAATGCGAGCTTTTCTTTGGGAGTATTTGTTCACATTTTTATGGATAGTTTTCAAACTTTTTAGGAAGAAGAGGAAAAAATGAACAAAACCAAACTGAAAACCTCATCTTGAATACAGTTCGAAAGGCGGACATTAAATTATTATCTTTGTCGTTCCTTTCGCATAAAATCATTAGGCAGTCTTCTATTTCGGTCAGCGAAGACAAGTCGTCCTGCGGTCCGCCAGTTGTGCATTAATGCTCTCTAGACCCTCTGTAGAGGTGCGGCCAGGATGGACTCATTACAAAGACGGATGTTCATTTCGGACTTCCCTTTGCGATAAAGATAAACCCGAAATTGTTTTCCCGCGCACCTCTGGGCTGGCGGCGGCGGCGGCGACGACGCGCGGGAATGGCCCGCGAGAGGAGGGCAGAAGAACGAGCGCGTCTCGAGGCGGCGGAAACGCCAGCGAGCGATTTCTGCGCACGGTGACTTCCGACCGCCGCGGGCGCTTCCGACGGAGCCTTCAAGAATGGTAAAAGGGTTTGTGAATGCGTGGGGACTTCAACGTGGCGTAAGCGCTTTCCAACGCCCGTCCGACACAATGCGACAGCGCGGCTTGACGCGAAGCGCGCTCGCTCGCTCGCCCGCCCGCGCGCTGGGGGGAGAGCTGGACGGATGGCTAGGGCTCAGGTTGCGTCACGAAGTCAGTCGGCATTTTGCCTTTTCAACGTTCTACAAAATGCCACCGTTTACATCCCCGAGTCGCACTCCGTTCGTCGCTGGCTGATTCTGCGACAGTTTTGTGCGTCCGTGCTTGCTCTGGCTGCGACTTAAGAGAGAAAATGTGCGCCGCGAAATAAATCGTTTGAATGAAATAAAACTCACGGAAGATGCGATACGGGTTTCGGATTACACAGACACACAAGAACAGAAGTTGGCAGACCCAAAGACTTGACACGTTTCTCTATGTATGTCGACGTGCTGGATCTGAAGCTGAGATTGCAGCACTACTGGCAATTTTTTTTAAATCGCGAAAAACCACCGTGAAATTCTAGATCGTTAATTTAAGGGTGCTTTTTTGCGATCAAAAAACTTAAGGCGTTGGCTCAATTCTGGCTTCAGATCTCACTCAGCTCATTAACATACATGTGTTCAACTGCTCCGACTGCTACGAATTTTTATTATCGTAGACATTTTTCAATAATTTTTAAACAATGCTAT